AGTGGTCACTTGCTGCCAGAGTCTCCAGAACCTCCATTTCATGGGACTCGCCATTGAACGTGAACAAATCTCAGCTGTTATCATTACGGTACAGACATCCATAGGGTCCCTGACATTGCAGTGTGTAGACAAGGGGAGGGACTTATGCATCGTTATGTTAAATAGCCTCAGGCCTTCGGCGCAGTGCCAATATGGTGCTAACAGAGCGCGGCAGGAACCTTTTCGCTTCAGCAGAGCGTTGTGTAACACTAAGCCTGAGGTCTCTCCCATTATACAAAGAGGTGCTTCGCCCGCACTTATAGTACTGTGTTCAAACTAGGGCACCTTATTTTCGAAAGGATGTCGCTTGCTTAGAGAACGTACAAAGACTGGTCACGAGAATGATTGAAGGCCAGCGTAAGAAGTCGTGTGTTGACCGCCTAGATTGTTTAGGCTACTTCTCTCTGGAACGACGCAGACTAAAGGGAAACCTGATAGAAACGTTTAAGATTATGAAGGGTCAGTGATATTCAGTCTACCGATCTGTTTGAACTAGCTACATCGGGCCACCTGCGGGGATACCATCTGAAGCTCATGACGCATATGTCCACGCTGGATATCCGGTCGAAAATTCTCACTAACCACGTAGTACGTAATTGAAATTTACTTTCCCCTGCACTAGTGGGATGTAAAACTGTGGCAGCCTTTAAGAGAGGCCGAGATATGAATTGGCCCACTCTGTTTCCGGAATTGCACTATTAGTAGATTTACATTAGTACCATTAGGATGTCACCAATGGTTTCATGAAGTTATGAGAAGTTCCTATTACTATTTTTTTGTCTCTGCAGAAGTGAAGCTTGAACGTCGAAGTACCGGTGGCCTTGGCTTACTTACCGGCACGCGAAACGGGACGCTCGTTAGACGAAGGCCTGTTTCGGCCCTGAAGATGTGACCTAATCGCTTCCAAATTGGGAGGTGTGACATTTGCTTCCCACTAGGCTCAGGTGATTTGACAATCGGCAATGCTACAGCAGGCCCGCTGAACTGTTCCTCAATAAGTTCAGCCCAACGGGCTGAAAATCGATCAACAGTCTATCCTTCTCAGCTATTGTCTCACTAACGCATGGCTTTCTTGGACCTGTGTTCCGGAAGAGCTGGGATAGCACTGGGCTGTTCCCAATAGATAAATTAAAACTGGAATATCCTGACCATGGCGATTTTATAGATTGCCTCAATTCCTTCTGCGCGCACAACGCCGGCCTGTTCGCCTTAATCAGTAGCGCTTCACTGATCGCCGGCTTCTTCGAGTTGCTATTCATCAATGGCACTTTAAATGCTTTTGATGGGTTCATGTGATGGCTATTCGTCATGACATGCTTTGTGGTAGACGAGGAGAGGTTTCGGTTCGTCGTTTAGTCCATCCTTTCTTGGTTCACCATGGACTGTCTTAGCCACTTAGAGAAGGGTTCATCTACCCTTTGAGCTAATCGGCGGTCGGTTCCTGCCTATGTATACGTCACCGCAACTTCAGGTGAACTGGTAAATAACATGAGAGGTCCAACCCACTGTCGAGTGGCTCGGACGATAGTTGTGAGCAAGCCTTCGTGCGGTACGAATGATGCCTAACTGTGCGGTGGTGTAAGTGCGCATTAGTGCAGAGCTGAACTTGTGACCAATGTCGTTTGAAACATGGTCTCCTTTGAGGGGCAAGAACAAGTAAACAGCTTTCTTTTCAGCCGTTTGCACTGGTAACATCTCATTGGTTGGTCTGCTATGGGGTTAGTTAAGCTACTCCGGATATCCGTCAGACAAGAGACTTCTGTGTAAAAACTCCTCTTCACTCTTTAGCATCTATGGACTGCAAACGCGCCTGGCTCTGTAGGAGAGAGTTTTAACGAGCCCGCGCTTGTACGTAACCGGGGCGAAGCTGGTAAAATGCAGGTATTGTCCGCTCCATATCGCTGTGCGATGCACCGTGCGTTGGAGTGTACCTCCGGGTCCTCTTTTCATGAGGATGTCCAGAAACGGCAGGCTGTCTTGCTGTTCCATCTCATATTATACAGTGAGATTGGGGTGGATTTGAATTCAAAAGGACAACTATTCGGCGAAAGCGCTTCTCACTGGTGAAGATAAGGATGTCTTCTACATACCGTTCGTACAGTTTTGACCCATCAATATTGTTAGCGATATTGCGTTCAATCAGCTCAAGAAATATGTCCGACAGAACGGGGCCCGGAAGGCTTCCCATTGCAACACCGTCATCTGCATGTACGCGGTTTCCTCAAACTCAAATCGAACATTCTCTGTGCATATTAATAGCGCTGGCTTCATCTCACGCGTCTTTATAGCCCACCAATGTTCCCGATCCACTCGAAGCCTCCTTTTCAGACGTCCTTTCAGGGAGTTGCGGATACGCTGAAACTCAGTGCCCATGAGAATCCGTTTACGCGCTTCTACCAAGCTGATCGGTGCTTCAGTTACGACGTCTCAAGTCGGGCGCACAGCAAGTGTCAAAGGCATTCTTCATGGCAGACTTGAGATCATCTCAGTCAGTGTTTGGCTCACCAACCTCATTCATCACTGCCAATTGGTGGACCAGTTCGTTATGATATTGTTGAACCACAGATTGCGAGTTTACGTTACAGGTAAGAAGCTTAGCAAAGAAGCGCTGCTTTGAAATGGAAAGAGTAAGCACAAGGTGTGCGCACTAAAGCATGGTCAGAATTCAGGCAGTGCTTCAAATTGACCGACAGTCCTGGACTGATGTGCGCCATATGTAGCTGATGGCAATATGGTCAATTCGGGTCCAGGTAATAAAGGAATTCGGTTGGCGCCAGGTGACGCAGTGAGAACATTCATGCTGGAAAGCAGTGTTGTCGTGGGCGCACTGTTGCAGAATTCGATCGCCATTGTCTGTTCGGCGTGCATCGATTCCAAAGCGCTCTCCCAACGGTTGTTCAGAATCTGGAAGAAGGACCATTTGGGTGTTCATGTCACCAGCAACAACCACAATGTCAGTATTCTTCACCAAGCGGAGAAGAGATGAAGGATGTTAGTAGAAATCATCTTTGGTACAATCCGAATTACGGTCAGTATGAGCATAGATTGAGGCGATGCAAAGGCACCTTATATTCATACGTTGCTCATTAACCCCAGTAAGGTTCGAAGTCGAACCGAACACATGCGACAGTTCACCAAGATCCAACCGAGTACATTTTCCTTCAGCATGTCGATACCAACACCGTAAATACCTTGAGCCACTGACTCGGTATCACCAAAAACGCGAAGAGTGCAGTCACTGCCGTCAGCTTCCGAACCAGGGAATCGAAGATTCGTCACGACGCTGTTAACTTGTATGCGTGTTTCGGAGACACAGCACACATCAATATCAAGAGAGTGAAGAATGAGAGTCAGTGCTGCCTGTTGATCGATTTGACCCAAGGTGCGCACGGTAACGGAACCAATACGAAATGAGGCTCATGGTTTGATTTACGAGTTACGAGTATCGATGGCATCAGCAGCGAAGTCGGCTGCAGATTCTTGCTGAATAGACGAGGATGAAGAGCTGAGAGAGGAGAGAAAGATAAGAAGAAAGAGTATTGTCGACGTCTCTCCGACTGCCCATTCCAAGAGATGAGTTTTGTTCGATATGCCTTACCTCTAGTTTTTGCCTCAACAGTCTGCCTGACATGGCATTGAGGAATTTGGGGGTTCGCTTGAGGGACTCTACTCGGAGCATTTGGTTCAATAGCCTGATCCACAAGCCAGTTGGGAGCAAGTCCAGCTCGGGAGTGTGACATAAAATCGCGTACTGTTTAACTCAGAAGGAACACGAATACAAGTATTCTCTCTGGCAGTGGGACGATTTTTGAAAAAGTTAAACATTTATTTCGTTTTTAGACACGTCAGCTAGATAATTGGACGGGGCATTTTGAAGATTGGGCCAGCTGCGGCGTCATTTTAATTTAGGTGAGATTTGGGACACAGTTTGTTTTTGAAGATATTCCACATTTACTCACTCTAATCGTGTGAAACAATGGACTATCACTCCTCGATTTTCTCAGATCTTTGTCGTGAGGTAGAAAACTCGTTGATGTAGGGTCTAGGCGCTTCACTTGGCACTTATTCAGGCGCTGAGGAGGCGCATTCTGTTAATACACTGTCAACCGCAGTTCCCGTCACTCAAACCTTTTTTAACATTGGCCTTGTTAGCGTTCCCTCGGAGCTTCCCGCTTGGATCATTCTGAGAGCCGGCTCTCAGTTGTCCATTGAAACAGTGAGACATGAGCTTACCTACCATGAAGCCGGTGTTACTGTACTATTTAGAGGACTGGCTAGTTTACCGTAGAGTTATTAAGTAACGGTTTATCCTTGCTTACTGGTGCTTGCGCAGTATGGTTCGTATCTGATGGTAGCACTAAATGAGCTAATTATTAAGTAGGGGACTCTTTGGTACCACACTTGCATGTTTGTTGAAATTAAATTCTTGACAATGACTTTCCTTTCTTTTATGCCATTGACTGTCTACCTCGTCTTACATTGTTTACTGCTGCCGAACCTAGTTGGACGAAGCCACAGAGTGGCTAGTCTATGCCGTTCTGCAAATTGGAACTGGGGTGCGTCACATCAGCGGTTGGATGCCTTGACTTACGTTGCACAGTCGCGTAGTTATGGGCTCCTCTGCATTCTCTTGTTCACACCTAACTGGTATCATCCTAATTCGAATAGCTTCACCGACCGCCTTGTTGCAGTTTGCGCTTATTTGCATTAGTAATTCGGATTATCATGCCAACGACTCATTACAGCTGGACCTGCGGCACTTCAGTACGCAACATACAGTTATTTAATTCTTCCCAACCGAATCGTTTCGACGTTTGTCACTTTGCTCTGGTATACCCATCTCACTAGTCTATTTATCACACACACTTGCAAACCTCACTACACAGTACAGTTGTTTAACCTACGGCTTTTTATTCTTGGCGTATTCGTACATTATCCACCTGAACTTTCCAGAACCATTGATGTCTCTCCATATCCCGTATTGGGGATCTGGTTGTTCCCTGTTGCAATATTCCATTCCTCTTGCACAGGTCTGCGAGCTGGATATCATTTTCCACTTTGAAAAAGCCTATTACGTTCTAGATGAGTTCATTCTCGGGGGTGAAGTTCAGGAGACAGGAAAAGATACCGCGCTTAACTATATCGACATGCAAGATCTCATGCAAGAAGTGAGTTCATATGTTAACCGCCTATTTTTGACTCAATTTCATTCGTGTTTGCTCTTCTACTACAGCCTTATACTCTCACTAAAACGAATTTGATGAACACATGCACACGTTATTGTTTCGTTTCTTGTTTTTTGCAGATGCTCTTTTGGCCACGTTTCACTAGGGAACCATCACTGATAAGATAGCATTCCCATTTCTCCCTGAAATTTGGGCTACACCATGGATACCATAGGGAACAACTGCTATTATTACCATTATTATTACTACTATTTCAAAGAGTGCTCTGGTAATAGCATTTACTTTTTTGATTTTTTTCTTCCGTATCCTTTAATAGGATCCTGTATGTTCTAAGCATCTCGTTTTTAGTTTATTGCTGTTTGGCCTCCTATCCAATTCGGCCAGCTAGGGTTTGTTGTTGATTTGCCATTGATAACTGGGTTAACAGTCTATACCCTATTCTCATACGCTACTTCTTGTCTGTCGTCACCGACTATTTCTCTTCACTATTGTCAGCTGCATCGGATTCACTCGTAAGATCCTTCGAATGACCAGTACCTGCTAGACACGCGCGTCTAAGTACGCTTTTTGTTCTTGACAAAGTGTGATTTATGTTTTTCCTGCTTCTTCTATGCACCACCTTGTGCATCATTTATGGAACTCTTCTTGAAGGCGATGTATGACATCGCTGATGAGTTGCAACTTCGTAAGTTATAAATTCAACATTTTTCCTTCTTCATTCATCCATCTGTTACTGAATAGGTATACAGTTCAGTGTTGATTTGGACATAATTACCACTTTCTGTCTGCACTAGCTTGACTAGTTGATACACCATATCTACGAACCGTTGTGGTATAATTTTACCGCTGACCTGCTACTGTTCGCCGCTGATCATGCTACAGCTGAACGTGTTTACTCGCTGACACGGAATATATATCCGCAACAACTGACTCCTTGTTAGGCCGCTTTCATGCCTGACCATAACGCGGTGTGATGGTTTGCCTCTCTGTAATACGTTATGCTATGCTGGGTGGTACTTCCTTATCGTCCTGTTTCAACTCTATTCTTATCCTCCACGTTTTCAGCCCCCCCCCCACACCATGCTTTGATAGACATTGGTCTTATACTTTTGACTCATACAACCTCAGGGCGTCGCTTCGGTCCGGTTGACAAGTCGTGTTCGTTCGTCTGTTTCTATTCAGAGTGCCCGATCCTCGCTGAGTATTGCGTGCTTCAACACGCGCACTTTGCTACGAATTGGTCAGCAAGCAGCACTTGCCCGAACACAAGAGACTGTCAATTGCTTACAAATATGGGGCTGGACTGCACGGTTCGCGTACCCCCAGGATCCATTGAACTACCACGAGTAAAACTTTTAAGTGCTTCCAGTGCAGCTAATGCTTGTCAGGTCAATCGTTATCGGTCAGGCTACCTCACTCTTGCAATCCTCCTCTCTCTTCCCTCAAAACCTAGCCGTAGAATACAACATATTTACGGGTTATAAGGTCACAGTTCGATTTGTGTAAGACGCGTGTGCCACCTATTGCATCTGACGGGGGGGGCGCACCACCCGGTCCTCAATGGTCTGTTACCGCCTACTTCAAGGCAGGCAGCTTTTGATCAAATACTTGCAAACCCTCTAACTCCCATCTGCGGCTGGCCATGGTCGCAGGCACGTAACATGGTTGACAGCATCCTGTTCCGGATTTGATTTGCGGCCTCCATGGAGACAGCTACGAGATGCCTGTGCCTACGCGGGGACCATGGGTGCCTTGCACTGCACAGCCACAGCTCCATTCACACACCCCATATTCAGTGTAAAACCAAAGTGATAAGATCGGGAAGCGTGTGGATGACAGCCACGTTTCATCAACGGAACCGGCCCACAATTCTTCAACAACCAAAGCGGAAACATTAATGTCTAAGTGGGAAGCCATGTGTACCAGAGGTACACAAAGTGATGGCTTGGTCGTGGCCCCCTCCACACTAGATGCATGGAACCACACTTTGAGCTTATCACCGTCACGACGGCCGTGCACCCCGTCCCGTTCAGCAACGACCATCTGTCTCCTGAAGCCAGTATGTACTAGGTGGTGGGTCATAGACAGGTAAGCATCTTGTCAACATTCACATAAGTCATCAACCAACACCTGAAATGCAAGAAACACAGCACGCAAGCACACGTACAGACCAACTGCGGCGATGATGCAGCACACGTACCACTTTGACCACATTATTGCCCTAGGTTAGTAGATGGAATTGAACCGTAAACAGCTTACTTAGCAAGCGCTGTGCTGATGATGATTACATATCTAGCTTACTCGTCTCATCTTAGCTATTGACTCCACGTGGCAACGCTGAGAGCTTACGCCGGTTTGACTGAGGCATTCGCGATCGCATTTGTTACAGCACCACGCACTTGATGTCTATGAGTTATCCTCCATCAGCGCCAGTCGTTTGCTCAACCGATCCTTCTCTTTCGCAGACAATGGGGCTTTCTGTACATGGGCATTCACCCACTTGATAGGCTCAAGGCAGTTGCGCAGCTTAGTTGCCTTTGGTTCCCAATACCTGAAATCAACATTAGTTCGTGATAAACCCACCTTGATGATATTCTGTTAACGTAACTTTGGTTTTCACACGCACCGCTTCCTTGCACTGTTATTCATCTAACAGCGGCTTCCGTATCCGCATCGAATCCATGCGGCTGATATGTCCCAACCATCTCAAGTGCCGCAGCAAAACTACGCAGTCCACTAGATACATTCCACGGCGGCGCCACTCTTCTGTGTTTACAACTTGGTCACCCCAACTAATGCGCATTATTATTCATCATTATACACGTTCGCTAGCGGTGGAAAACATCTCAGCTACTTTGTCGCAATACATAGAAAAAATGTAACAGATGCATGCCAGCCGAGCTACCAGTAACGTATGGGCATCATTCCGGAAAGCTACCAACCGGCTACTATCTACAGAATCTGACGTATTTACTGTTTTTGGAAGCGCCACCAATAACTTACCTCCTTTCGTTACAGCGTCCACATTTCGCTGCCATATAGAAGAAGGGGCAGAATCACCGACTTGTATTCCATCAGTTTTGTCCCAATGGCCAGCTAACGATTGTTCCACACTCGACTCTCTGGCCTACCAAATACGACAGCCGCCTTCGATACGCGAATGCGCAGCTCGCTCGTCATCTGACGGTCTGTTAAAAGTGTTCTCCCTTAGTATCGAAAACGGAAGGCTATTTCCAACCTGTCGTCGCCTAACTGAATTTACAGCACCCGGTTGGATTGATGATTAGGCCGAACTTTGTCGCTGTCGAAGCGAGATCCGTCGCCATGCGCTGCAACTCATCCGCGCTGTGTGCAAACAACGCAAAGTCATCATCCAACCGCAGCATACAGATGATCGTTTCACACGCCAGGTTTCTCGCCCCGAAACGACGGAGGCTTAGCAACTCGCATCAATACGGTGCTCCATACGCATATCGTAATCAAAAGCAGTATCAAAAATGCATGACCTCATTGCATTTAGGTAAATGTTAAACATGGCTGGGACTAAGACACATCCATGCTTTACATCAGAGACAACTGCAGTCATCCGAGGATCGTCCACATAGCTGCACCCTCGCTCACGTACCTCTCTGCAGATATTCGATTAAGTGTACAAACTCAGCTCTAGCCACAGTGTCTCGTAGTTCACCGTATCAACCGCCTTGGTGAAATCACCAAACAGCGAGTATAAGAACTCGTGTGGCTCTCTGCATTTCTCCTGCAACTCACGAGCCGCGAACACCATATCTATGGTGCTGCGACCCGAACGGAATCCGCATTGATCTTCCGCCACTTAAGGTTCAACGACCTGAGGGACGAGGTGGTTGAGCAAGATTCTGGCGATCACTTTCCCTACACAACTCTGCAATTTTATGCCAGGAAAATTCGTGCAACATTTCTTGCTCCCTTCGCGCTTGTACAGTGGTAGTACAAGGGCATCTTTCAAGTCAGCCGGCACCACTTCTTCAAGCTACATTCATTGCACTAAGTGATTCAGCGCGTATCAACCCTGGTCCTCTGTGTTTCAACAACTCTGGCGGTATACCATCTGCTCTGGCGCACTTGCCGTTTCGGAACTGAGCAAGTGCTCTCTACGTCTTAAGCACCGTCCGCGTGTCAGTGAGACACATCTTCATCTGAAACAAAATGTAACGAATAAGCATTTTTTAAGGGCTTCATCATCAGGCTACTACGAACACTACAAAGTAGGCCAGAATGAGTACAAGACGTTTAAACGCAGTGAGTCAATGAAGCAAATTATTCGATCTGATCTAACCGCCATTGTTAAGCACGTTGGTCTGAGGGCATGGTAGCGTGAGAGTGCACGTAACAGAATTAATGTAACGAATACTGTTTTGAAACGTCACACACTGAATGAACGTGATACGATTGTGTGTCGGATTAACGAACTCGAGCTTAACCAGTGCATTTTCTCTGTCACTCTGGAGAATCGAACTGTTAAAGAATGCGAACCGTTCGGATCCTACGTTCAGCGAACCGTGGCATGACAAGTGGAAGTACGTGTAGCCTCCCTGCAGAAACGGATCAATGTGCGTGAGCCACAGAAATTACTTCCATCTGATCTTAAGAGCTAGGTTCATAATTTCTGCTCGCTGAAATTAAACCTTGTTTTACTAGGGGTTCTTTCCCCCGGTCCAAACTTCTGTTGTCCATGGAACTATGTTAAATAGCTAGATTTAGAGGTCCAATTTGAGAATCTGCATTCCCAAGTCGTTACGCTTACACCGCCATCAGTCTTAGGAGGTGAGCGGTATAAGTGAACACTGGTTAACAAGTGTTACGAATACCTAAGTTATAGACTACCTACCAATGATCTACTGAAGCAGGAACATCTAGACGCCTTTACAGAAGTCAGACGAAATGATAATGTACTGTTATGTAGACCTGATAAAGGAGCCTGGATCGTTTTGATGGATAGAGCG